ATAATGAATGTGGAATTTCTTTAAAATAGAAAAAAATATTTTTAAGAGAAAGAATTTGCACATTTCTTTTTTTAATCCCTGTAAAAGGAAGAGTACGATGGAGAAAGAAGTGGGAAAGTGAAGAAGAAAGTTGAACAAAAAGGAAAACTATACTGACATTAAGAAACTGGCAAAGCAGAAAATTAGGTAAAATCAAGCATTGACAATTAGAATTCCACACAATTCAACAGGATGACATGAAGCTATTTTGGTGACAGAATATAAGCCATATTCTGAAATATTACTAAGGTTAGCAGGAGCTAATCAGAATATCCAAATTTGTCAGCATGGAGGGCAGCTAGGAACACCGAACCTGAGAACGTAAGGAAGAACTGAAAAAGGTCCTAAAATCCTCAAGAGCAATGAGTCTTTTGCCTTGTAGGACAGCTCATGCCAGAAAAAGAGGCCTTTCAGGCTGACGACTGTCCCATCATGGCTCAGCAGTGAATTAAAGGACGTGCTCTGATCGTTCCAATTTGTGCAATGCAGGAAAACGGACGGTGACAGAAGAGAGTACACAGGCCTTTCACGGCTTTTGTATTTTATTGTTCCACTGAACAATTAAATTAATCTCCAATGCCACTCAAACATAACCCTTGTCCAACAGTGGGTTATGTTAAAGTGTGTTGGGGGGAATTTTTTTTTTAACCATGTCTTTCAAGTTCAAGAGAGTCATTTCACTGAAAAGACCATGTCAGATTAATGCATTTGCCAGCTAAGTACCTTAGCTGCAACATAACTCCTTTCGAAGGTTTTCAGATCTAAGCTCACCATGGAGACCAAAAAACAGAACCCAACATGCATCTCACTTTAAAGCTTAGTCACTGGACGATTGTTACAATGGGAGTGGAAAACTGCATAATTTATTTCTTCTCTTCCATTAGCATCAGGCTGTCAGTCTAGCTGGTGTCTAGGGTAGGTTTGTTTGTTTGTTTTTCTCTCTTTTGGAGTTTGCCAAAACAGTTAGAAAAAAAACTTCTTACAGAAAGCTTAGAACACCAAAGAATTCTCAAATGTTTCTGCCTCGTTCTTTTAGTTTTTTAATGGAATCCTACACAATTGGAAGAAGATGACAAGAGGTTGTTTCGGGGTTTGTACACATGTTCCTTGGAGAGAAGCTGGGATGAGATTAGTGTGGGCTAATCAAGGTACCCCAAACTGGGCCGCCTCCAGTGTAAGCCTGGAACACCCATACGCTTCTAATCTAGCAACTGAATACACCTACTTCCCTTTCCCAGTGGTTATCTTTGAGGGGAGGCCCACCCTTCACACATGATTATTTCTCCAAGCTATTACAATCTGTGAAGTGACGAGTACACCACTATCAAATGCATGAACAATAGGGACAATTTTCATAATTACTACTGTATACTTGTTGGAACATTTTTCTTAGAAGCCATGCATTTTAAGTATTGGCATTAAGGGAAGAATTAAGTATACTAACTATAGGGTTTAATATGATGGCAGAACCAAGTTGAAGTTCACATGATTATATTAAACAGAAAATCCTATATTCTGAAGCTCCATTCTCTTTAATGACTATTGAGAACCAACAGACAGGCCTTAAATGGTATCTCTAATCAATGAGGAATATCCAATTCTAGAAACGCTGTTTTATTATGTCCTGTCTTTGGTCTTTTCATCCATTCGCTCAGCTTTAATACCATCTAGATTATGACGAATCACAAATATTTGATTTTTCCCTCAACTTCAGACCTATATTGCTAACTGTCCTGAATAAACAAGCACCTCAACCTCTATTTGTTTAACCTGAAGTCATTAACTCCCTTTCCTCCTTCCCTTGTAATATCACAGTGGTAAAAGCCTTCCTTTCTATCCTCATTCCCTACCTCATATTTAGTACCAAGTTGTACCGATTCAGCCACTTGAACATGACTCAAATCTGTCTCCTCCTTTCCATCCGTACGGCCAGGGGTTTAGCTCCAGGCCCTTATCACAGGATTTTACAAATGCTGACGAATAAGTCTAGGGGTTGAAGCATGATAATGACACTGAGCTCTCTTATTTCTGTACAGCATTTCACATCAATAGAACCCCTAGGTATTGCCTTCTTTCACTCTCACAACTCCTTCAGACAGATAAAAAAGTGTCATTCGCCTTGTTTTGCCAATAATCCTTCTGGGGTTCTGAGAAGTTCAATGCAACTGCCACACAGCTAGTAAGTGACTTTGCAAGATCATCCTCACCACTGGGTAGTAAGTTCCCTCTCTAGGCAATGGTTCAGAGAGAGGTTGATCGAGATTTCACGGTGAGAATATTGACAGACATCAAATAGAACAGGGGACTGGATGACATTTTGTAAGGTTCCTTTCAATTTTGAAACTCAGCTCTGGGTATGCCTCTCCAGTAGACAAAGCAGGCGTCTGGATCTCTCTCTGACAAAGTGCTACCCTCTCTCCCTTCTGACATCGTGCAGTGCCGCCCCCTAGCCCTCGGCCGACCCCTGAATTTCGTAAGCTTGATCTGCCATTCCGGGGCAGCACCAAGCCAGTGAGGGCTCTGCTAACTCTTCTGTCTAGCTTCAGAAGTCACTGTTTCACCGTGAAATGCTCTTGCCAAACAAGTTAAAATGAAATCAAAACAAGTTTCCAGAGCCAACGTTCTATGTAGATGAAATATGCAGGAAAGAGGAAGAAGTTAATTGACACTGAAAGCAAATAAACAGACATCCAGAATGTGGAATATTCTACAGGACAACTGATCTGATCTCTACAAGTTACTTTTTTTGGGGGGGCGGGGGGGAGGAGGAGAAGAAGAAAGAGAGACAAAGACAGAGAGAGAGAGAGACTGGTCCAGAATTAGATACTTAAGAGATAGAACTACTACTAGTATATGTACTGTAAAGACATCCTAACTTATACAAACCAAGTGTTTAAAAAAAGGGGGCATTTTAAGACAATCAAAGTACTCCATGAAATGGTATTTGTTATACCAAATAATTACTGTTAATCATATTGATATACCAACAGCATTAAAAGTATGCAATAAAATGTCCAAAATTTTGAGATGCATACAAACGTATGTAGCAATAAAATGACACTGTCTTGGATTTAAAAAGTATTTCGAAAGGAAAAAATAGACGAAGCAAATCTTGGCAATTACTGAATCTGGGTGCTGGGTATACAACAGTACCTTACACCGCACACTAGATTTTTTACTTTGGTATACATTTGAAAATTTTCAGAATAAAAAACTGTTTTCTAAATTCTTATCCCAAGAGTCCTATTCTGCAAAACAAGTAATTAGATTTAATGAGTTTTAACTGATAATGTCTGCTAAGGTTTGCTAATATTCCACCCTCTCCTACATACTTGATTTGAAAATTTTCAATTTCCAGAAGACAGTCACAGAAGGATGTCCAGAGACACAATAAATGAGTGACACATTTGGGTTTGGTTTCTGCATAAAGTTCCTGTTATTACCTCTGCCTTTACCAAGAAAACCCACAAGCTATTTTTGGTCCCAGGTCTTGGGTAGATAAGCTGATGACTAAAGCTGACTCTGTAAGTGCCTATGCTAACAGCCTGTGCTAGCCAGCAGCTGGGCGGAGCTCCTGAGAAGAAACCAAGCCAGAACCAAAGTCCGGAGAAAGGCTACCCAGAATGTTGGATCCATCTCTAACCTGTGCTTGGCCAGCTCGCACTTCTAACTAAACTGGCATGACGTGTTCCTTGGTGGAGAAACTTCCCAATGCACAGACAGGCTTTTTTAAGAAGTTGAACTAAACTTAGGCGAATATCCTAAGCAATCCGCCTACTACTGAGAACATACTGCTTAACAAGCCAGGCTCCCAGCAAGGGTCTACACTGGATCCTTCCTACAATCCAGGAGCTGCAAGGCCAGTGCCTGAGAGTCTACAGAGAATAAAGAAGATGTGAGGCTGGCTTCTTGGTCGGGCGTAAGAAAGAGTTAAGGAAAGAGTTTGTAGCAAAACAGAAAAAGCAAAGAAAGAAACTAGCTACCTCTCTGAGTACAATATAAGACTAAGAAAAAGAGGAAACACAGTAAGCAAACAACTTAAAGAAATCCGAAATTTCAAGTGATGAAGACACCACTTTACTAGTAAAAATCCAAAGTCTATTTTCAGCCCTCTTCCAGGTTCAAGCAGAGGAAAAATCTCCCTTCTGGAAGGAAAAGTACAAAGGGATGGAATTGAAAGTGCAATGCAAAGAAATTATGTCAAGCACACTAAGGTAGTAGCCCATATGGTCCCCCAATCAAATCCAGGAAACCAGTGTCTTCTATTTCTTATTGCATCAAAGAGCTTTGATGTAGGTAAACATTTTAAAAACCAAATCTTCTGCTAATTATTTCATAAAACTCCAATGATCTCCCAAGTTGAAATTACTCCAAGGTAAAGGTGAGACGTAAGGAATGTTATGTGACCCTAATGGAAAGGTAGAGACAATGAGGAATAAAGTTCATGTTAAAGAAGGGCTTCTATGCTACTAGAGAAGATCAATACATTCGGCAAAATCTCCATTGTTTGAGAGAGGAGAATGCAAGGAGACAGGAAATGGCTCTGCTGTTACAGATTACCACCAAAGGAATTCATAGAAAGAAGGAAAAAATATTTCAAACTGAACTTTCCATCTAAGAGAGGGAAAAACCATCTAAAAGCTCTTGGATCTGTGTCAAGGGAGAGAATGATATTTTAAAAATCTGGCAGGAAACCAAAGAGCTACACCCACATACAAAGCTTAACTGCTTCCAGCACACTAACTAGACCACATATTTCCCCAGCTGGGAAGCACTGGCAGGATTAGGAAACCCTGAGAAGGGTGGGGCTGCCTGGCCATACGGCTTAGTAACATTCCCAGGTGAGTGTGGGGGGACTGGCCTGTGTTCTAAAGAAATTTTCACCTTTGGCCTTAGTCAAAGGACCCCTGGGCAAGACGAGAAACAAACAAAAAGGGGAATTACAGTGAGGAGTGGTTTACCTTCGGAGAGCAGTTGAAATGCATACCAGGTACTGGGAGTGTAGTTACATACATTGTAATACACCGATACAGGTACAGCGTGCCAACTATGCAGAAAAATCTTCTGCTAATAATAGACCTGGAAAAAGGGAAAAACAGGGCAGACACTCAGTCATGAAATTCTGCAGGTTCATTTACTTTAAAGTTTTCAGTGACCCAATAAAGCAAACCCCAAAAAACTACTTGAGTGCTTGAAATCAGAATGCTACAACTACAGATTAGCAGGTTAGGTGGAGAATTTTGAGGTTGACGTGGTGGTTTTTTTAAAAAATATTAACTTGCCAAAAGAGTTTAAAACACTCTACATTGCTATTCATTAGGCTTCATGAGGCCTTAAACCTGAGTTGACATTCAACTGATGTATAAGTGGTGCCCATGCTGATTGGTCAGAGCCCACTTGGTACCTGTAGTTAAATGTTCAGGGTGCCTTTTCTGGCATAAAAGGGGAGATTATTTACAAAATCAGAATGACATTAAAATGAGAATTCAAAACTCTTCTGACATTTAATGAGCCAACAATGTTAAACAATTTTATTTGAACATCTCAGAAACTGATTCTCTTAACTGATCTGAGGAAGCAGGATGCCAAGAAAATAGCCTAAATAACAGCATCCTACCCCATCTCCCTCTCTGTCTACTATGTGGCCTTGGGATACGCTACGGAATTTCTGAGTCTCAGTTTCCTAAATTGTAAACCGGATATAACAACATTAGGAAAAACGTATGAAAACTCCCTGCCATACACACACAATGGTAGCCAACAAATGTACAGTTTATATGGTGAGAAACAAAATAAGTAAGAATTAGAAATAGATCTCTTTTCCATTTTAAGTTGATTAGTGGTTCTAATGAAATTATTTTTTACATACATGTGAACATGTATGTTGAGTTTGCTAATTCCTCCAAATAACAAATTCCACATAATGAGGTTTACTTTAATTATATTTCACTGTACAAACTTCAGTGTATGCTTGGATAAGAACGACCCTTCCCTCTATCAGTCCTGTGGGTCTCCTCTTCCTCAACTGGGGGGGGGGGAGGGGAGTCAAATTTTAACTTAGCATTGGCAACTTGCATTAAATATACAAAGAAAAAGAAACAATGGACAGGCTTTCCTCTGAGAATATGGAACGTTGATTACTCTACAAATGTATAGTATAGTTCTATTTTTATGCTGAATATATATTCCTACTGAGGAGTGCTAATTGGAGGAGAATTTGCATCATTTGTATTTTTTATTTTAATAAGAGGAATAAAATGCTATGTCACTTGTGTGATTAAAAATTAATTAAAAATAACCTATGCTGCCTGGCTGGTGTGGCTTAGTGGTTGAGCGTCAATCTATGAACCAAGAGGTCACAGTTCGATTCCTGGTTAGGGCCCATTCCTGGGTTGCGGGCTTGATCCCCAGTGTAGGGTGAGGAGGAGGCAACCAATGAATGATTCTCTCTCCTCATTGATGTTTCTATCTCTCTCTCCCTCTCCTTTCCTCTCTGAAATCAATAAAAATATATTTTTTAAAAATGACCATGCAACTATATTAGCATTCATCCTTCACTGCACAGTTCATGTGAGTTAAGTCACTTGGGTTGCATGAATAGAGTCTGGGTGCTTTTGTCTCTTTGCCCAGATTTCAAAAACTGGGTCAGAACTGCTTACCGTAGAAGCCATCTTCTTTTTTTAGTAAAGCTCTATATGCCACCTCCAAGAATGAGAAATTATTCAGCATAAAGCTGTCTTGTAAAGGTATGTGTCTCTAACTTCAAGTATGATGAAAGCACGACATAATTAAACAATGTAAAGAGGGGGATACTAGAGAATAAATTAGACCATAAATGTCTTAACAAGAACATTTGAAATACAAAAGTTAATTTTCTATTGTAAGACATAATGTTGATCTTTTTTCAAAAGAAAATGCCCTCTCTAGCCATCCTGCTCAAACAAGTAGAAATTACCTGCAATATCACTGAACTATATAGGAAACATCTAAGAAACTTGCTAAATATGTATCTGTTCATCTCTTTAGAGCAGCGGTTCTCAACCTGTGGGTCGCGACCCCTTTGGCGGCCGAATGACCCTTTCACAGGGGTCGCCTAAGACCATCCTGCATATCAGATATTTACATTATGATTCATAACAGTAGCAACATTACAGTTATGAAGTAGCAACGAAAATAATTTTATGGTTGGGTCACAACATGAAGAACTGTATTTAAAGGGCTAGAAGGTTGAGAACCACTGCTTTAGAGAAAGAAACACAAGGAAATGATTGCTATCACTCAATTTTGGTCAAGAATGCGGTCTTAAATACTTCACCTGTTTCATAATACACAAAACACACACACACACACACACACACACACACACACACACCAATAGCTATTTCCACATCTTAAATTGAGTCACGGGGAATAGTAGTGAAAGGATTCAGATATCTATGAATAAGGTGTATAAAAATGAGAAAGGATGAAAAACGACAAACCTTTTTACAAAAAACAAAATTGGAAAGTAAACATTGAAGATTCAGTCACATTTGCTATTTGACTTGAAGTGAAAAGCCAAATGACTTTGTCTCTGTGAATTAATCAATGCTAACAACAAACACGTTGGTAAACTGGAGCTGGTTGTTTTTAAGAATCTTCAATCTTTGGCATTTACTTAATCTTTTTTAAATTAAGCTTAGAATATCTCCAATGTATAATGCTGAACTAGTGTAAACTTTAAAAAGCAGGATATACTAGTGTTTCAAAGAATTGGATGCAATAAAGGTATTTATTTCATTAATCAAAGAATTTCCCACAGTAGATTTCTTACAGGTTTAAAAAGTTCAAAATGTGTTAAAAATTTTTTTAAAGTGGTTAAAATGAGAGATGCCTGAGCATAACTGCAGGCGACACCATGACACCCAATGACTGAGGGGGAGCCTGTTCCAGAGCTGCTGGAGGCTGAGGCCTGAAGCTTATCCTGTCCTTGAGCCAGTGCCACCTACCTGTTCCGGAGGCAGCCCAGGGTGACAGGGAGGTTTCCCCTTCGGAATCCCCCCAACAGGAGAAGCCGGCCTGCCTATCCTGTCGCCCCAGTAGCCCCTTTGATTTTTTACAAATAGAGACCCTTTGTTTAAAAAAAAAAAGGCAACAATGCCTCAAAAAAAAGTCATAGGAGAAATGTTAATGAGATATGACTGGAGAGTAAACAAATGCCAAGAACAAGATGCAGGTTATAATTCTCAAAAGCATAATGTTGTTCTTCTCTATGGGATACATCTCTCCCTCTTTCATGTTAGAAAGAAGCCTAAAAAAAAAAAAAGAAGAAGAAGAAGAAGAAAAGGGAAGAAAGAAGCCTGTTGCTCATTTGCTCACACTTGGCAATGACGGTCACCTCACAGTCACTTGTATTTGGTTCCCCTCATCTATTCTCCTCCTAAGTATTTGAGTAATAGGCTCATTTACTATTGTTTCTGAGAGAAAAGAAAAACATTAAATGTCATTAAAAAAGAAGTATGGATCAAAGTATCAGTGTTTTATAGATAACTAGAGGCCTGGTGCATGAAAATTCGTACACTTGGGGGGGGGTGTCCCTCAGCCTGGCCTGTGCCCTTTTGCAGTCCGAGAGCCCTCAGGGGATGTCCGACTGATGGCTAAGCTGCAGTCTGGCCTTCTTCTGCGGGAGGCGACCGGGCGGGCTGATCAGGGGAGGCGCCAGTGGCGAGTGGCCGGCCGTCCCTGCCCCCCATTGACCCTCCACAGCCACTGGTTGCCTCTACCTCCCCCCCATCGCCGTCCCCTCCCTCTGCCCACTGGCACGTGCCTTGGCTGGCATGGCACCACCTGCTTGCCAGCCCCGCCCCCCACCAACTGGTCTTCTGCCACTCAGTCGATTTGCCTATTATACTTTTATTATATAGAATTATTAAGACTTGCTAGAATAGTATGTTATGTCCAGTATAGGTGACTTTATTTTTATATATTATTTTTATTTTTTAACTAGGAAAAAGTACTCAGAACCTGATTAAATACTATAAAAAAGTACTTAGAACTGGATTAAATGCTATCAAAATTAGACTTAGAATAGTAGCACTACGCTGTGTTTCGCATTTGGTACAATGCAGTGGAGGGCATGAGGTCTGAGAGGAAATAGGGCTGGGTCTGACAGGGCCTCATTGGTCAACATATGAACTTGGGCCTTAAAGCTCTAAGAGGTGGGAGAGGAATGACATACACCAACTTACTCTTACAGTGACTTAAAGGAAGCAAGATGGAGACAGAGCAACCAGCAGGAGGTTCCTGCAACAGCCCAGATAAGAGATGATGGGGTTCTGGTTACACAAAGGGCAGCAACAGAGGTGGTGAGAAGTGGTAGAATAACAGACAGACCAGATGTGGGGTGGAAGCAAATATCAAGAACAAACCAGGACGTCTGGCCTGAGAGCCAGGGGGAACAGAGAAGCCATCTACTAAGATGGGATGGGAGTGGCACAGGTTTGGGCACCAGGGGGATGTCAAGGACTCCGTCAAGTGCTTTGTACACATTAACTCACTCAATACACACAACAAAGTTGAGAGAGACACTGTTTTATCATCCCATTTTGTAGGTGAGGAAACAGTGCTACTGCAGAAATTAAGACACTTGACCCAATTCTCCCAGTAGGTGGCTAGGGACAGAATGATCTTAAACTAGTGAGATTTGCAGTATGACTGAATGCTTAACGGCTGACTGGCTGGTGGGGGACAGATGTGGTGATGTCTAAGTCAGATCTCCAGTAATTAAACAGACATCCATGATGGTTTTTTAAGAGAAGGAAGATAATCCCTGGGCACGCTATAAAAAAAGAAGGCATCTATGATACCATTTAAAATTATACACATATATAGGTTATTAATACAGGCACACACACAGAAAATATCAAAAGGGATATTGTCATTACCATTTATCTCTGGCAACATGATAAGTAACTTTTTTCTTTTTGTTCACTTTGTCTTCTAATTTGCCTAAAAGCAAGAAGAATTACAGTGGGGCCTTGACTTACGAGTTTAATTCGTTCCGTGATGGAGCTCGTAACTCAAATTACTCGTATGTCAAA